CTCCTTTCCCCTCCCCGTGTCCAGCAGGCCTCGGCCGCGCACAAGGCCCGAACCCCGGCCCAGCCACCGTCCACCCCGGAGGCCGTCGCTCACCACTTGGTACCGACTGACGGGCTGCTGCTGCTGCTGCTCTTCCATGCCGGCGGCGGGGGGGGGAGGGGGGCGCGTCGGGCCTGGCCGCCTCAGCGCTCGCCTCCTCCTTCAGCTCCGGGCCTGCTTCGCTCCTCCCGGCCCCGTCTTGCTCCGGCTGCCTGGCTCCGGCGGTGCGGCTGGCTCCTCCCCTGACGGCCGCCGCCGCCTCCTCCTTCTTCTCGGGGGAACCTGGGCGCTCGCTTCCGCGGCTGGCCGCCTCAGGAGGAGGAGGAGGAGGAGGCAGCGAGTGAGGCGGGCTGGGCGCGCCTGGGAGGCGAAGCGGCGTCTTGAGGGCTCAGAGGGGGCTGAGGCGTGAATGGAGGGAAAGGGAGGCGGCCTTTTCGTTCGCCTCCTCTTCCTTCACAGCCCTGGCCGCGTCCACACGGCTCTTTCTCCTGGGCAATCCCGGAGAAGAGGAAGTGCAGGTCGACCCCGCTGCAGACCCTTGGAATGGGGGAAAGGGTCTGAGTGTCTGTGGAGATTCTCAGTCACGGTTGTCCCACAAAGGTGCTTTTTCAGGGGGCAACTGGCCTTTTCTTTGGGTTTTTTTTTCTTGAAGACGGTTCGCTTCTCAACCAAGAAGCTTGTTCAGCTTTACAAATAAGTCCACAAGTCTTAAAGTTGCCAAGGTTGAGAACCCCTGCTCTAGGTGGTAAACATAACCAACCCTATTTCTTCGTATTTTCCCACAATCACAACCCTGTGAGGCGTATGGGGTTGAGAGTAACCGGCTCCAAATTCACCCAGCCAGCAATTCTATCTGTCCACATCTGTTTACTGCATCTTAGGGACCCCCAGTCATCCCTTTTATTCTGTAATGCAACAAAAAAAATGCCATCCCTTCCATTATTCAAAAGATTCAAAGGTAAATGTCTAAGCTAGAAAGATTCTTAGCCATCCAGGTCATGGTTGTCCCAAAGGTGCTTTTTCAGGAGGCAACTGGACTTTCTTGTTTGTTTTTTTCTTTGAAGATGTTTCGCTTCTTATCCAAGAAGCTTCTTCAGTTCTGACTGAGGTGGGAAATGGAAGGATTTATATTCCTTGCAGACAGCTGGTCATTTGCATTCTTTTATGGCCTCAGCGACTCTAAAAGAAGGCAAATGACCAGCTGTCTGCAAGGAATATAAATCCTTCCATTCTCCACCATCCAATCAGAGCTGAAGAAGCTTCTTGGATGAGAAGCGAAACGTCTTCAAGGAAAAAACAAGAAAGTCCACTTGCCTCCTAAAAAAAAGCACCTTTGGGATAAGGAGTTTGAATGCAGCCCTAGGTTGCTCCTCATATGGAGCAGCGAGGGGTCCTTTGGTGCTCTCTGAATTTGGCTGTTCTCTTGCAGACATTTTGTTACCCAAACTAGGTAACATCCTCAAGGCTAGTAAGTGGGGTTTGAGCTCCGTTTATATTCAGGTGGCTTTTCTTTATTTGTTTGCTTGTTTGTTAAATTCATTTGCTGCCCATCTCATCACAAGGTAACTGTGGGATGGTTACAACCTAAATGGCCATCACATAATTGCATGGGCGCTTGGGAAGCTGTCATGGGAATGGGTTGCCAAGGACCCAGATTGCAATCATGACCCTGGACAAGTTCAAAGTCTGCAAGGTCTTAAGTCCCTTTGTTCAGCTCCTGTGCAATTTCAAATGGTCGCTGAATGAATGGTCATTAGGTAAGGTCTACCTATAATGACAATCAATTATAGGAGTAATTTCTGAATACATTGTTCCTAAATATCCTTGATTTCTTATATAGTCAAATAATAGTGCTCCATTAATGGTCACTTTTATTTGAATTATAATCTTTATGCTCTCTGATTTCCTCCTAGTCAATCTTCAGAATCCTCCCTTTTATTTATTTTCAATCAATAAAAGTTTCTCATCAATTTCTATATCTATATCTATATCTATCTTTGTATATCTATATCTATCTATCTATATCTATCTTAAAATAAAGGGAACACATCCTATAGGATGTCTCATAGGATGTGTTCCCTTTATTTTTTTGAGCAGTATATATATATATATATATATATATATATATGTGAGTCTTTGGTCATTCGGGTTTTCTCCCGTGTAGACCATTTGAGACTGACTGCTTTATCCCTTTAAGAGCTTCTTAAGCATGCTATGTGCACATGCCTCACTAAAACCGTTATAGAACTGTTATGTAAATTTATGCGTTTACTCCCCCCCTTCTCATTTAGCCCTTTGCTCTGATGATGTTAACAGGTTGTTAACGAAAGCTCAGCAATTAATAAAAAAAGCCTTTTACCTTACATCCCAGAGTGCTTTATTATTATCTGATTGACTTTAAATGTCCATACCTGGGATTCCAATATTCAAAATTATCAAAGATATATATATATATATCCATATATCCATATATCCATATATCCATATATATCTATACCATACCTATATCTATCTATCTATCTATCTATCTATCTATCTATCTATCTATCTATCTATCTATATCTATATGTTGAAATATCACTGTAAAAAAATCATCCCATGAGAAAATTTTATTGATTGAAAATAAATATAAGGGAGGATTCTGAAGATTGACTAGGAGAAAATCAGGGAGCACAAAGATTATAATTCAAGTAAAGATTATAAATCAAGTAAAAGTGACCTTTATTACCATTATTACATATAATAAAATTCTAAACAATCCACAAGATGTATTTCAAGCCCATCTGGCCCCTTATCTTTCCAGAGTCAACATTCTAGTCCCCCTTTTGCTATTTTCCAAAAGTATTTTTTCCCCTTTATAATCCTTAAATTTATACAAAACTTTTTTCATCGTGGGTAGAAGAAAACTCTCCCGGCACAGTAAACCTTGCCCTTCAGAAGTTATTAACATCCCAAAAATTCAATTAACAAGCAATTTCCTGAGGTGGTTAAGAGAGGAGGTGTCCAGTGTCCAACTGGGTTTATCTTATCTCAATGGCTTCCAAAATTCTAAAACTCACTGAATATTACTATTTTACAGTCTCTTTGGGAGAGGCTCTATATCAGTGGTTCTCAACCTGTGGGTCGGGACCCCATTTGGGGTCGATCGACCATTTCACGGGGGTCGCCAAGCAAGGCTGTCCGCCATTTTTTTGTCTGCCATTTTTTTTGTCCGCCATTTTTTTCCCTCTTTTCCGGCGGGTGCCTTACCTCCCTTGGGCTGGGCCAGCTGGTGGTCGGCCTGCTCCGTCTCTGCCGCTTGCCAGCTACCCCTCGACCGGCGCAGGGGGCAGAACCACGCATGCGCGGCTCTCCCGGGCAGGGAAAATCCAGGACTTACGACCGGTTGGGTAGTCCTCGACTTACGACCGGTTTAGTCCTCGACTTACGACCGGTTTAGTCCTCGACTTACGACCGGTTTAGTCCTCGACTTACGACCAGTTGGGGTCGCGGCATTAAAAAGGTTGAGAACCACTGCTCTATAGGGAGCAAACGTATGAGTCAATCTAGCCTTCTCCTTCATCTAGAATGGATGTCTGATGAACTGATTCCCCTTCACCAGTTCCTCTTTTTACTGGGGCTGTAAGCTTTCTTCATTCTGCCATTATTTTCCCAGAAGTCCAAAGATTAGTTCTTCTTAATGCTGCTATTGTGCCGTGCTGTGAATAATTGTTTATATCATATGCTCTCTCTCTCTCATATCTGTGAGTCTAATGGAGCTGATCTGCTTCTCCATCTAACTTCAGAAATCCTTATTTACACTTAGCAACACCCTGTTTACCAGGGTATCAAAGGCCTGTACTCATTACAGTCTCTTATAAGTAACTACTTGAGGTAGGAGATGATAATTAGGTCACCTGGCAGAGAAAAGGGTTGTTGTTTTTTTGCCACCCACTCCACTATCCTACACATTTGCTTTGTTCAAAGCCACAAAGCATATTCAGTTCTTTCTTTGCAATGGCCATTACCTCTACTTGTTTGTGACATTTGAATCACAAGACCTGAGATGCTAAAAAAAAGAAAATCCATATTGCTAGAATGAACTGATTAAAAGTTTGTTATTGTAGGAAACAATGTCACTCCTTTTAATTAGTTAAGCAGATAATGGTGTTCAAAGCTGAAAAAGAGGGGAGGACTATTTTTACTAGATAGCTATATGGGGTTATCAATTATGTTTCTAGCTCTTTCACAGTGCAAATGAAATTTTCAACCATATACAGGTAGTCCTCGACTTGCAAACCATTTGTTTCGTGACTATTCAAAGTTATAACAGCACTGGAAAAAGTTACTTAGGACCATTCTTCACATGTGCGACCATTACCACATCCCCCTGCTCACGTGATCAAAATTCAGAGGCTTGGCAACTGGCATGTATTTATGACGGTTGCAGTGTCCCAGGGTCATGGGATCCCCTTTTGAGACCTCCTGATAAGCAAAGTCAATGGACTTAACAACCGTGTTGCTAACTTAACTCTAGTGATTCACTTAACAACAACAACAACAACAACAACAACAATAATAAAGTTGGAAGGGACCTTGGAGGTCATCTAGTCCAACCCCCTGCTCAGGCAGGAAACCCTATACCATTTCAGACAAATGGCTGTCCAGTCTCTTCTTTAAAACTTCCAGTGTTGGAGCATTCACCGCTTCTGGAGGCAGATTGTCCCACTGGTTAATTGTTCTAATTGTCAGGAAGTTTCTCCTTAGTTCTAGGTTGCTTCTCTTCTTGATTAGTTTCCATCCGTTGCTTCTTGTCCTGCCTTCAGGCACTTTGGAGAATAGCTTGACTCCCTCTTCTTTGTGGCAACCCCTGAGATATTGGAACATGGCTATCATGTCCCCCCTCGTCCTTCTCTTCATTAAACAAGACATACCCAATTCCAGCAGCCGTTCCTTATATGTTTTAGCCTCCAGTCCCCTAATCATCTTTGTTGCTCTTCTCTGTACTCTTTCTAGAGTCTCAACATCTTTTTTACATCGTGGTGACCAAAACTGGATGCAGGATTCCAAGTGTGGCCTTACCAAGGCATTGTAGAGTGGTATTAACACTTCA